CTGTCAAGACCTTCTCCTAAACCAATTCTGCGAACTTCAGGACCCCACTCATTAACCATCTTACTTAAGACAGATTGCCCAATACCTCTACCCCAGTATTTTTGTGATAACGCATAAACTATTTCAGATTTGCCTTTTTTTTCAGGTTTAGGCTTTGATAGTATAAATCCTATGAAATTATTATTATCGTCAAGGATAGTGAGCGCGCCCTTAGGTTGTCCAATTTGATATTCATTATTTATTCTGGATTTAATTTCATCACTTCTTAATTGCCTTTCTTGATACATATATTTCATAATATTTATATCGGATAATAAATGTTCATAATTTGGTAAGTCATACTTCTGAATTTCTCGTGCAGACCATTTTTCACCACTAAGACTTACAGACACCACATCATTTTCTGAGAATTTAAAATTTGATTTTGCCATACTTTATAAGTAACCTGCTTCTAAAGGATTTTGAAGTATTAATTCGATTTGTATGTCATACTTCTGAATTTTTTGTGCAGACCATTTTTCACCACTTAAGAGTGCTGTTTAATTCTTGTAGAATTTTTATTAAATACATAGAAACATTCTAAGCAAAATACATATTTTTACAATTCACCAAAATAGAGGTTTAAATATTTCAATTGAAATACAGTAATAATCTATAAATTAACGATAAAATCAATAAAATCTATAAATAACGATAAAATTAGTAGACTGTCAATTGTCTTTTATTTCACGAAATTATTTTTTAATTTAGTTAAATCTAATCAATTATAATTCACGAATTAAAAAAAGTATTGTTATAATACAAATTTAGCAGAAAATTTAGCTCATTATTGTTAGTATTAAATTACTGTTACTATTGTATTGTAGAAAGTTGAAATGAAAGTTTAATTACTGTATTTGCAATATTTAATGCAAGAATATTCGAATAACCAAATCGACAATTTTTTAAAATTACTTCATATCCTTTTTGAGCAAAATAAACTTTTAATTGTTAATAAAGCAAAACATAAAAAACGGAAAAAAATAAGTGATTAGTTAATACTTTTATTTAAAAATTTTGTTCAATCATTTAATTTACAGCAATAATTTTAATTGAAATAATTTAACAAGAATTATCACGTGAGGATATAAATGAAAAAGGAAATTTCATAAATTAAATTTTTTGGAAATTAAAAAAAGTGGTAGCCTTTATTTAAATTTTGAGGCACAGAATTCAATTTTAATTTTCGTAATAATTGATTAAATTTTAATTTTTACCTTGCTTATTGCATAAAAATTAATTCAACATTTTTATATATTTTTCAGGACCAAAAATAAAAATATATCATAAATTTTTAAAATTAATATTAAAGTAATTTGTCAATTAGTTTAGTTCAGTATAGAGTTAACTGAATATTGAATAGATAATATAAATAATCTAGGGGTACTTTAAACTGATGAATATCCATAGATTTAAAGTAACCCATAGATTATTTATATTATCTATTCAATATTCAGTTCACATCTCTAGTTCAGTATAATCACTTATTCATTAATTGAAAATGCACTCAAAAAAGTTGTATATATAAAGTAATGTAAATTGTCAGTTACTTTAAAATGTAAGTTAACTTTAAAATGTCCCGTTTACAACAAACAAAAGAAAAGCTTTTAAATGATTTGATTTCATCTTATGAAAATAAACATTTCTGCGATACCAAGATAATTGTTAGTGAAAATGGAAAACCTGAAATAATTTATGCTAATTCTTTTATACTTAAGATACGTTCTGAATATTTTAAACGTGCATTATCACAACACTGGAGCAAGTTTCACACATTATAAATAAATTGATCTGACGCATCTCAACATGCCAAAATATTCTAATTCTGCCCAAATTTATATTCTACCCACATAAGAATTGCATTCAACGATTGGGTATTTTAGAAAGTAACATTCTGCACATAAATGGAAATTTAACTATTTCAATTAAGATATTTACAATTCATTTAAATTGCACTTCAAAGAAATTCAATTAGTAATTTTTTTCAAACATACAATTCACAAATTTAAAAAGCAGAAAATCTAAAAATTAATGTTGTTTGATCAAATCATAATATTGGTAAATTTCTGTATTTGTAGTAATGTTATTAAATTAATATTGTCTTAAAATTTTATTAATCAATCGATTGTGATAAAATTAGAATTCAATAATTAATGTATAATTGTTACAAGAATCTATTTAATTTGTTGGTGTATTAAATTTTTTCAACCAATTTTTTTAGAGCTCATACACATCATTATATTTTTTGATATTTTTTTGATATCATTGGTAAATGCTAACAGAAGAATGCTATGTTGAAATTATCAAATTTCTTAAATATGAAAACCAAACTTTATTTAATTGTTTATTAGTTAACCGCTTACTTTGTCGCTTGACTGTACCCATACTTTGGGCAAATCCTTTAGCTCGTATAACAAAAAATTCTGTAAAAATAATTTCTATTTATTTTTC